GTAAACTGTGGTCAATGACATGAGACAAAGTATATGTGAACTGCTGTATGGAAAATGAATTTTCTCTGTAAATTTTCACCCAAATCACAATAAAATAAATAAATAACATAAAAAAAGTCGGTGGTTCAAACCTAGCCATGGGTGTTATAGAAGAAAGGCCTGGCAATCTGCTTCTGTAAAGATTACAGCAAGAATACCCTGTGGAAAATAACAATCATGGGAGAAAGAAGGGCTGCTTATGCACAGGGACACAGCTCAGGGGGGCAGGAGTGTGTGGAGGAATGGACACAGAGAAGAGGTAACTATCGGGAGGAAGTGGGAGGGAAGCTGTTGCATTGTGGTAAATTGTAGTCAGTGTCATGAGACAAAGTGTATGTGAACTGCTGTATGGAAAGTGAATTTGCTCTGTAAATTTTCACCCAAATCACAATTTAAAAAAAAAGAAGAAGAAGAATACCCTGTAGAGCAGTTCTACATGTCACTTGCCTCAGAATGGATTCAACAGCAACTGGTATTGGTTCTTAAGTAGAGCTCTGAGCCTGTGCCCTTTGTGGAGAGAGCAAGACATAAAATGCTCTCTGAAACGTCTGTAGGTAGCAAAGGTTGAGGGTGAAAGAGCCATGTGAATCACATGCTTTTCTGTTTTAAAAAATACATAATAAAATAACAAAATCTATATTTTTATAATTATCTATACTTTCATATAAGGAGCCCTAGTGGTGTAATGGCGCTCTGGGGGCATAGTGCTTAAGGCATTTGACTGCTAACCAGAAGACTGGTGGTTCAAACCCACCAGCCACTTCTCGGAAGGAAGGATGGGCAATCTACTTCCGTAGAGATACTGCCTCAGAAACCTAAAGAGTGGTCGCTATGAGTTGGATCCAACTCAAAGGCAGTGGGTTAGTGGTGTAACTGTGAAGCACTCAGCTGCTAACTGGAAAGTTGGTGATATGAACCCATTCAGCTGCTCTGTGGAAAGAGGACCTGGCAATCTATTTCCAAGAGATTGTTGTGTGTGCCCTCATGTCTATTCCAGCTCATAGTGACCCTCCATGGCCAAATACAACTGACCCCTATGGTTTCCAAGGCTGTAATTGTTAAGGGAGCAGATCGCTAGGTCTTTTCTCCTAAAGAGCCCCTGATGGGTTCGAACCACCTACCTTTTGGTTAGCAGCCATGTGCTTAACCATTGTGCCAGCAGGGCTTCTTCCATAAAGATTAAAGCCAAGAAGACTCTATGGGGAAGTGCTGCTCTGTCACATGGGGTTTCTATGAGTTGGAATCAACTTGACAGCACCCAACAATAACAACATTCTTTCATATTGAACATTGAACAAGTAAGAGTTAGAAAGAGCCATACTTTTCTGTCTCTGAACAAACTGACGTTTAGTCATGTAATGAAATAGACTTCTGAGGCCCAAATTGCAAGCTTTATTCAATTTTTTTCTGAAGTTTAGTCAGTGGCATTGCTAGGGTTGGTGTCACACAGTGTAGTAACTCATGATATCACACCCCCCAGGACCTCTTCCCCTATCAGATTATACAGAATTCTTAGAAACGTTTAATACCAATTTTAATCATGAAATAATATGTGTAAATATAGTTGTAAATTGCTTAAATGTAATATTTCTTAGATTATATGACTGCTAACAACAAAGTTATTTTATAAAATATTTCTACAGTCAATTACAACATTATTACTTACATTATTTGTAACTGAGCAGAAGCCTTTATTGATTTTTCTTTTTCTTTAATTATTACTTCATTCTCCCAAAAGTTACTGATATAGTTTCACACATGCTAATTATCACACTATTGAAGCTCAAATATCAGAAACTCTGACAAGATCTGTGTCTATAAAAACACGGGCAGCAACAAAAACAACAGTGTGAGCTTATGGCTTATGAGGACGAAACCATGTGACTCAAAGCATCGTTGTAACTGGGTAATGATGACAGCTCTGACTGGAAAGGATTAGAAGGTTCAAAAAGTATATTAGCATAGAGTTTTAGCCTTGTAGGTATATTGACAGCGACAATTGGGAGGATGGCTCGGGACCAGGCAGTGTTTCATTCTGTTGTACGTAGAGTCCCTCGGAGTTGGAACCGACTCAACAGCACCTAAAACAAAGCAGTATACTGATACATGTAAGCTGGCCTTAAGAAAAATGTTTTTGTTGTTATAACTACAGGGATTTTTTTAAATTAAAAACATAATAAATCTCTGCAATAACACTGCACAAAAATTTTATAGACAATCATCTTGTTGTCAGCCTCTCTGACAGTGTCACCTGGTGTGATTCACAGCTCCCACACCCCCTAATGACGCCATGACATTCAGTGGCCTCATTAACCAGACATGAATTTTGTGCTTGCCAGAGTCCGATTAAGCCCTCTGAGCAGAAGGAATTAGGTGCCTCCCCCTTCCCGTGATTCAAAAGAAAAGCAATACGAGTCCGCAACATAAGTGCAGGGTCGGCCAACAAAGCTCTCGGTTTCCTACACACAACAGTGACTACTTTGTGCCTTTTCTGAGATACTGATAAGAAATTCAAACTGCAAACATATCCTGTGTAGGGTAGGGAGTGTACTCAGCCTGTCCACTGGCCACCCAGCTTGCACTCAAGAGGCTCTGAGGAGACCCTTCCAGCTACTTTCATTTGCTACTGTTCTCTGCCTTCCTGAGCTTGTGCTAGGGTAGCTGGAAGCCCCGTATTCGGTATTCGCAGGAGCCATCTTAGCCCGCCTGAGCATTGCAGAGCTTGGTCTCTCTCCCTCTCCGTGATCCAAATGAAAGGATGAAGACTCTCTGTTCTGGTCATTCCAGATGTTTGTGCCATCTTTTTAAATCTGTAATTATCTGTCAAGATGTGGCTTTCTGTGACCAAATTACTAGCTTAAGTCAGTTTTACCAGCATTTTCTGGGCCTTTCACTCATTTGCCTTTCCTTCATTCCACTCATTAATGAGTCCTCAGAAATTTGAGCTTTTTGAACCTTTTACAGCTTTCTGTCTTAACAAGGTTTTCCTTCAAACTATGTTTAAGCATATGTTGAACATAAATGAACAGTTTTTTAAAAGTGTTTAATGGAACAGTTTTGACCAGTTTTCACACTGGTTTCTGCCTGGTTTTCCCTGTGGGCAGTGCAATTCTGGCCTTCCCTGCACTGTCTCTTTTCTTTTCAATGCAATAACTGTTTTTACTCAAAAGGGTACAGAGCAGGAATTTCCTATTAATCATTTTTTTAAAAATGCTTCCAAGTCCCTTCCAAGTCATGATGACCTCATATATGTTAGTAGAACTGTGCTCCATGGGGCTTTAAATGGTTGTGATCTTTCAGAACTAGATTGCCAGGCCTTTCTTCAGAGGTGCCTCTGGGTGCATTCAAACCAATCTTTCCATTAGTAGCTGATTGTTTAAGCATTTGTAACCTAAGGACTCCTTAGTTTCTTGTTACAGGTCATATAGGTCAAGAGGAAATGCAAAACCTAAACTCATCTTATTTCTTGTCAGGTTTACTTCATAAATACAGCCCCTCACACATAGACACATACACATACACACTGACCCTGACATGAAACCTGGACTACCTGGCCTTTCTCAGGGGACTTGGGCTTTTAGGAAAGAATGACAACTAACCTATTTTAGAATTGTTATGCATAGTGTTCAAAGTATTTTTTGCAAATATCATCTCTCACAAAAAAATGCAATGAAGAAGGCAAGGCAAAACCTTTTGCATTTTAGTGAAAGAATTAAGGTTTTGAGAGATTAAATGGATTGACCTGAGGTCATAAAACTAATAATGCACCTGTGCCCCTAGAACACAGGTTTTTGGACTCAAGTACACTTTCTTTCTTCTCTACTCTGCTGTCTGTCTTAGCCCCACACTTGCTGCTCTCTAGCAATTTAATCAGAAAGGAAGCAGGGGAAAAGTGAGAGTGCCTGGCTTTGCCCGCAGAAAGCTTCCAGTGTGGCTGAGAAAATAATAGACACTTATGAGAAAAGAACACTAAACTAAGGCCTCTTGGAGGAGCTCTGGTAGCATAGTGCCTAAGGCACTTGACTGCTAACCAGAAGGCTGGCAGTTCAAACCTACCACCCACTCCTCGGAAGGAAGGAAGGTGGGGCATTCTACTTCCGTAGTGATATCGCCTCAGAAACCCAAGGAGGGGTCACTATGAGTCAGGTCCTACTCGATGATACATAACAACAACAACAAGGGCTCTTGAAAAGGAGACAGGGCTTGGGTCAGATGTTCTTCTTTAATTGTGGTAAACATTTGTGCCCTGGTGGCACAAATGGTTAAGTACTTGACTGCTAACCAAAAGGCTGGCAACTCAAACCCACCCAACAGCTCCATGGGACAAAGACCTGGAGAGATCTGCTCCTTTAAGACTACAGCCTAGAAAACCCTCTGGGGGCAGTTCTACTCTGCCACATGAAGTTACCATAAGTCAAAATCAACTTGATGGCACCTTGATGGCACCTACTCAACAACAAATATATATGTAACAAGACATTTGACATTTCAATAAGTTTCACAAGTATAGTTCAGTGACACTATGTTCTTCAAATTTGATTGAGATTGGAGGACTGGGTTGGGTGCAGTATGGAGGTAATGGGAGGTAGAAACAGGTTACCTATCCTTTTCACTGTCAAAACCTTTCTCTTGCTTTTTGCCCTGACTCTCGCTCTCTCCTCCTGATCCACCAATGTTTCCTCTGCTCTCCTTAGGTGTCCATCCACCTTCAGGAGGACAGCTCCCATAGCCACATGCTGTTGATGAAGGGGGCTCCCGAGAGGATCTTGGACTTTTGCTCTACTTTCCTGCTGCATGGGAAGGAGTACCCAGTGGACAATGGCATGAAGAACGCCTTCCAGAGTGCCTACCTGGAGCTGGGAGGTCTGGGGGAACGGGTACTAGGTGAGGGAGCTATAGGAGAAGCCTTTGAAAGAGTGGGACCAACGTAGTATTATATATGAACCACCTGGGAAGTTGGGGTAAAGGGGTTCGGGACATAGAGAGCTGAATGACTGCTGATTTCTTCTTCTTTCCACAGGGTTTTGTTTCTTGAATCTGCCTGACAGTTACCCCAAGGGATTCCCATTTAATACAGAAGAAATCAATTTTCCCATGGAGAACCTTTGTTTTGTGGGGCTCATAGCCATGATTGACCCCCCACGAGCTGCTGTGCCTGACGCTGTGAGCAAGTGTCGTAGTGCAGGGATCAAGGTAAATCACTGAGCACCCCAGAAACCACCCTCCCCCACTGCCTGTCAAAGTTGGAGCGATGAGTAGAAAGCCTTGCATGGAGTGGGTGCTCCATGACATTGGCAGCACTGAGTTTATTTCTATTTCCTTGAGCTTATGCTAAGAGGTACCTATAGTCAGTCTCCTCTGCAGTTAGAGGTCTGTCTTGTATTGCACATCAGAATCACTGGTTGTTGTTGTTGTTATTTGCCCTTGAGTCGGACCCAACTCATAGCGACCCCTCCTTGAGTTTCTGAGGCAGTACCACTACAGAAGTAGATTGCCCCACCTTCCTTCCAAGGAGTGGCTGGTGGGTTTGAACCACCAGCTTTTTGGTTAGCAGTCAAAGGCATCACTGGAAGAGCTTTAAAATTCTGATTCTCAGACACATCCAAGCCCAATTAAATTAGAAACTCTTAGGGTAGAACCCAAGGAGCTCTTATGGTGCAACAGTTAAGCACTCAGCTGCTAACCAAGAGATTGGTGGTTCGAACCTACCCAGTGGCTCTACAAAGGAAAGGCCTGGAGATCTGCTTCCCTCAAAACTGCAGCCCAGGAAACCTAATAGTGCAGTTCTACTCTGTCACATAGGGTCGCTATGAGTCAAAAAACAACTCAACAGCACCTAACAACAACAGGGTGAGTCCTGGACATCTGTATGATGATGATGATGATGATGATGATGATGATGATTTGAGTGGAAGCTTACAGAGCAGATTGGCTTTCCATTCAACAATCCATACACATTCTGTTTTGTGACATTCACTGCAATCCCCACACAGTAACAGCTTTCTTCCCACTTCCTCCCTGCACCCACTCCTTCCCTTCTTTCTTCCTTCCCATCTCCTCCTGCCTTCTTAGCTTTATCCCTTGGCAAACACTGTCCTCTTAATCTCATGAGTGCATACCCTTCTGATATTACTTTCATCTTATAGGTCTGCCTATCATTTGTCTGAAAATTGAGTCACAGAGATTAAGCTCTATTCCTAGCTTGAAGACTGTCTAAGGGACATAGTCTCAGGGGTTCCACCAATCTTCATCAGACCACTATGCTTGGTGTTTTTTTTTTATCATTTTGAGTTTTGTTCGACTTTTCCCCCCACTCTATCTGGGGCCTCTTACTGTGATCCCTTTTGAAGCTGTCAACAGTGGTGGCTTGGCACCATCTAGTTCTTCTGATCTCAGGGCTGTGAAGGCTAGGGTTCTTGTGCTCCATTAGCCCTTTGACTAATTGTTTCCTGCATCTTTGATTTTCTTCACTCTTCTTTGCTCCACATGGGGAGAGGCCAATAGTTGCATCTTAGATGGCTACTCACAAGCTTTTAAGACCCAGTCACTACTTATCACAGTAAGATACAGAACATTGTCTTTGTAGATTATGCTGGCATCTGTATTTTTTAAAAACTTTTATAGAGATTCCAATGTGCCACTAAGTTTTGTTTTTTGTTTCCTTTGTGCCACCAAGTTTGAGAACCAATGTACTTGGACCAAACCAAGAAAAAAAAAAAAAAGCAACTTCACTGCCATCAAGTCATTTCCAACTCATAGCAACCGCCATTGGTTTTCTGAGGCTGTAAATCTTTTTTGGTAGTAGATTGCCCAATCTTTCTTCCATGGGCCAGGTGGTAGGTTTGAACTGCTGACCTTCCTGGTTAGCAGTCAAGTGCTTTATCACTATGCCACCAGAGATCCTATGTACTTGGACAGTGCTGCCCAAGTTTTAATGTGCATGTGAGTCACCTGGGGATTTTGGTAAAATGCAGGTCTGATTATGGACCTGGTAAAACTCCCGAAACTATGGCCCTTAGACCATAGTCTACGGCATCCCATCTCTTGGGTGATGGCATTGCTGCTGGTCTGCAAATCACACTAGGAGTGGCAAAGTTGTAGAAGATGCCATGTAAATGAGCTGCTGGGATGACTAGTAAAAAGGTGAGGCCAAGTGGGCTGGGGGTCTAGAGCAGGCAATAATGGGAATAATATGTTGAGAGCTGAGGACCCACACAACAGGTCAGACTCAGAGTGATCAGCTGTCCTAACAGGTATATGCCCTAACAAGTATATGACCAGAGGCAAAATGAATTGGTCTAAGAGTGAAACCTAGGTGCAGAACAAACCCAGAGATGGGACTTCCTCTTTGGTTAGAATGGGCCTAGGACTTCATGGGATGGCAGCAGTAGAATTCCTCTAATTTTGAGATGTTGTATATTCCATGTCTCCCAGGTCAAATTCTAAGACTCTTCATGGATTGGATGTGGAAGCCTTTCCTGATCATACCTGATATTCTAGATCACCTGCAACTAACATAGATCTTAGACTCCGGGAGGTAGCAGGTTAGAGTAGAGGTGGATTTATAGGTATTTTAGGAAAATTAGATGCCATGTAAGAAGAATTCCTGGGTGGCACAAATGGTTAATCACTAAGCTACTAATTGAAAGGTTGTCGGTTTGAATCCACCCAAAGGAACCTCAGAAGAAAGGCCTGACAATCTACTTCTGAAAGATCATAGTCATTGAAAACCCTATGGAGCAAATGGGGTCACAATCAATTGGAATTAACTCCACGTTAATGGTTTTATTTGCATTCTGATGCCTGTTAGTGGTTTGTTGGAGGTCAGTTGGTAGCAAGCTAAGCTCAATAGTAGACCACTAGAGCCAACACATGGATGTAGGTGAGACACAATTGTGAGTGAATATCCTAGTCACTACATCATAAGGTGTTTGAGTTGGTACAGTTTTCTGCACAGATGGCACTATTACAACACATCTGCGTAGGATAAGCAAGTGTTTTAGTTCTCTAGTGCTGCTACAACAGACATACCACAGGTATTTAAAAACAGGCTTTAAAAAACAGGAGTTTATTCTCTTACAGTTTTGGAGGCTAAAAGTATGAGTTCAAAGTGCCAGCTCTAGGGGCTGGGTGAAAGCCCTCGACCTTGGGCTTCAGCTCTGCCTCTTGCTCCTGGCCCACTGAAGCTGGAGTCTTCTCTCTTTTTTCTTTTTTTAATTATGATTTAGGTGAAAATTTAAAGAATAAATTCACTTT